TATGTTGGATATTTCATGCATACTGTTTTCAATAGGGTCTTCAAAGGCATTAACTACTACCCTAAATATACTGAACTATACTGAACTAAAACAAATAAGTAAGAAGAGTAAGTTTTAACTGTTCCCTCCGAACCATACGACAATAAAAATTGGAAATAATTAAACTCAATACCAGTTGAGTTGTCATTGTAATAGTTATATTTAGCAAAAACGGCTTAATTAGCAGCAACTATATGGCAAAATGACTTGTGAGTTTAGTAGCAATGGTGTTCTAGTAGAATGGGAAAAGGATCTTCCGATCACTGACGATCCAGTCATTTGTATTCTTTTATCGTTGAAGGTTATTGTGTTTTTTTTTATCCCAGTCACCTGCTTAACAGCTGAAAAGGGTCCGATAAAGACTAGGGAACCAGCTCAGTACATCATGATAAAAGTAACCACAACTATTCTGCTCAACTCCCAGCATGTCCAGGCCGCAGCCGCGAAGACATCCGCTGATGGCACAAAGGGTTTGCTGGCTGGTACCTTGGTGAACTCGGTGGAGATGAGACAGGGTAGGTACGTCTGTAAGCGCACACCGGAACCTTGCAGGTCTAACCAAAGAGAGCCAATCAGAATACTAACGTACCATGTGCTGATATCAGACACAAAAGCATCCGGATGGTTTAAGATATCACAATCCTAACATACCCTAACCCTTACCATAATCCTAACAGAAATTCATTGAGTAGGCATGTAAATATAAATAAGAACATTCGTGTGCTACCAAGGAAATTTCTGCCGGCATGAGTGTATCGATCGTTACAAGGTCAATGCGAGGTTAATCACATGGTTCAGCTGATTACAGAGCTCTGGCTTTCTTCTTCGTATTGCAGCGGCCCCCGCAAAACGTATGAGTCTGCTAGAATCTGTTCTGCGTATACGATCGACAGGGAGAGAACTTTTCTCAAGAATGTGCCGCTTGGAAACGGCTACCTTGAGAAAATCATTGGTAAGCATCAAAACCGCAGACAATAGATGAGTCCTGAAATATCAGTACTAAAATGCCGGTACGCAATTTCCTCCCTTTCAAGGGTGATAATGTCTCCAACGTGATAAAATGGAGGCTTCGAGGCACAAATGTAAGAACTTATTCCGCCGCTTAATTGTAGTATGTAAGCACAACAACGACCATTCCAGTTCGAACG